TCCTTTTAAAATTAAGGTGCTTTTATTAAAGAAGAAATTGCGCACTCACACATTAAACTGCTATTACAGGCGATTCAACTGTGCCCAGATCCTCTGTTTGTACTTGCCGATTTGAAGCACAAAGTAGACTTTATAATAATTTATGATTGTACACATATATTTATATATTTTTATATTTATGTCTTGTTGCACAGGATATCGCACTGTTTGAAGCACAAGTTTTTTCACGTTTATATTATTTTTGAGTTATATGTTTATGATTGATTTAATATATATTGTGAAGCGCGACACATTCAGATATCATTTTGATTTAATTTTTTCATCCAGCATATGATTATCCTGTCACTAAGAAAAAGAAAAAAAAAAGTACAATTCAAATACAATTTAAAAATCCACTTTTTTCTACATGTGTCAGCATATATTAGGAAATCTGAGCATGGCATTTATTAACCTTTTTGCTGTTTTTTATGTCAAGCTTCAAAATTGATTGTGGTGAAATACTCCAATACTATCCAAAAATTCCCATAGGTGATGTTTAAAAGCCTTTACAGTTAATGACGTATGGCCCTAGAATTATTGCTGTCACTCCAGTGTGTGGGCTAATGTGTGTGATGCAGTCGTCATGCCAGGGGCGGACTGACCATTTGGAAACTCGGGCACTGCCCGAGGGCCCGGGGTCAGTAGGGGGCCCCATGAGATGCCCCTGGTACCTTTTTCATAGGCTTTTTTGAGTTTGGGCAAGACACAGGGGCCCCATGATCCCCTATTGCCGGGGGCCCCATGAGTTGTCAGTCCACCCCTGCGTCATGCGCACACCTGGCATGCAAGATGTGGTGACGGGGGTCTTTAAACTGGATTAAAACATCTGTCAGGTTTCTCTGTGCTCCCATTAGGGAGATTCACCCTCTCTATTTCTTCTGTTACCTTTATTACCAAAAGTGAAAGTAAAAGAAAATCCCAAAATTATGGGTTGTCCCAAGAACAGGAATAGCATGGAAATCTTCCAACGAGGGCACTTGTTCTGATGTCCCTGGAGATAACCAGGGATTCCCTTACTTTAAAGGGATTTCTTCTCACTTGTTGTTTTGGTTATGGGACAGGAAATCTTCACAATAGGACGCAGATGGCAAAAAAAAAAAAAAGAAATTGACAGAGGTTATAACCCTCCCTTACTCTATATAGTTGCCTATAGTTTGGCATTAACTTTGAACCTGGAAATGACTGATTTACCACTGTTCTCCACCCTGACATCTGTCATAGGTGTCCTGTGCAACCAGAAGGGACAGGTAAGCCCATGGCAAGGGAGGTGGCACCTTCATTCACATGTAGAAATGTTTGGGTGGGTTTGCAGCCACTCAAATTACTTATACTACACAGCCAGTAGCCAGGAGTGAAAATGTAAAGAGACCCCAAGCTGCTATAGCATCCAGGAGTTTGCTTAAACAACAACATAATAGTTATGACTGGAACAAAAGGGTTAAAACTCTGTACCAAATAAGATTAACCTTATACAGTCAGGTCCATAAATATTGGGACATCAACACAATTCTAACATTTTTGGCTCAAAGAACATCTTGTTCGTTTAATTTCAAATCCATTGTGGTGGTGTATAAACTGCAGACTGTCAGCTTTAATTTGAGGGTATTTACATCCAAATCAGGTGAACGGTGTAGGAATTACAACAGTTTGCATATGTGCCTCCCACTTGTTAAGGGACCAAACGTAATGGGACAATTGGCTTCTCAGCTGTTCCATGGCCAGGTGTGTGTTATTCCCTCATTATCCCAATTACAATGAGCAGATAAAAGGTCCAGAGTTCATTTCAAGTGTGCTATTTGCATTTGGAATCTGTTGCTGTCAACTCTCAAAGAGAGATCCAAAGAGCTGTCACTATCAGTGAAGCAAGCCATCATTAGGCTGAAAAAACAAAACAAACCCATCAGAGAGATAACAAAAACATTAGGCGTGGCCAAAACAACTGTTTGGAACATTCTTAAAAAGAAGGAACGCACCGGTGAGCTCAGCAACACCAAAAGACCCGGAAGACCACGGAAAACAACTGTGGTGGATGACCGAAGAATTCTTTCCCTGGTGAAGAAAACACCCTTCACAACAGTTGGCCAGATCAAGAACACTCTCCAGGAGGTAGGTGTATGTGTGTCAAAGTCACCAATCAAGAGAAGACTTCACCAGAGTGAATACAGAGGGTTCACCACAAGATGGAAACCATTGGTGAGCCTCAAAAACAGGAAGGCCAGATTAGAGTTTGCCAAACGACATGTAAAAAAGCCTTCACAGTTCTGGAACAACATCCTATGGACAGATGAGACCAAGATCAACTTGTACCCGAGTGATGGGAAGAGAAGAGTATGGAGAAGGAAAGGAACTGCTCATGATCCTAAGCATACCACCTCATCAGTGAAGCATGGTGGTGGTAGTGTCATGGCGTGGGCATGTATGGCTGCCAATGGAACTGGTTCTCTTGTATTTATTGATGATGTGACTGCTGACAAAAGCAGCCGGATGAATTGTGAAGTGTTTCGGGAAATATTATCTGCTCATATTCAGCCAAATGCTTCAGAACTCATTGGACGCCACTTCACAGTGCAGATGGACAATGACCCAAAGCAGACTGCAAAAGCAACCAAAGAGTTTTTTAAGGGAAAGAAGTGGAATGTTATGCAATGGCCAAGTCAATCACCTGACCTGAATCGATTGAGCATTTCACTTGCTGAAGAAAAAACTGAAGGGAAAATGCCCCAAGAACAAGCAGGAACTGAAGACAGTTGCAGTAGAGGCCTGGCAGAGCATCACCAGGGATGAAACCCAGCGTCTGGTGATGTCTATGCGTTCCAGACTTCAGGCTGTAATTGACTGCAAAGGATTTTCAACAAAGTATTAAAAAGTGAAAGTTTGATTTATGATTATTATTCTGTCCCATTACTTTTGGTCCCTTAACAAGTGCAAACTGTTGTAATTCCTACACCGTTCACCTGATTTGGATGTAAATACCCTCAAATTAAAGCTGACAGTCTGCAGTTAAAGCACATCTTGTTCATTTCATTTCAAATCCATTGTGGTGGTGTATAAAGCCAAAAATGTTAGAATTGTATCAATGTCCCAATATTTATGGACCTGACTGTATGTCCCTAAAAAATATTTATTTATTTTTTAAAGGTAGTGTATGTATCCATAGAGTTATTGCCAAGATACCTGACATATACTGCACCTGCTAAATTTGTTCTGGGCATCCAGGCATCGATTACCTCCGGTTAGAAGGAATAAAGGCTAATGTCTTCTTAAAATATATTCTTATATGGTTACACATACAAGACATTAAATTCAGATGGCTTTCTATGGGTTATTTAAAAAAAAATCATGTAAAAGAAAAGAGTAAGAGGGCTAAGATTGTTTTTACACCTTTTGAGCTCTGATATCTTGAGTAGCTTAGCGGTTTATAAAATCAGTGTCATTTTATATTTGAAACTTGTTTTTCTTTCATTTTCTCTTGTTCGAAGTAGAAAGAAGAACTGTCCTTTGCACTATGATGTGTACATTGGGTTCCTTGTCTCAGTAATAGTAGCCAATTTTTTAATCTGAGTGGCCTGCGTTCTTTTTCAACTGGACTGTCTTGCAGAAAGGTATGCGATTCCTAGGAGATCAAGGGTTGATATACTAAAGGCAAATAGATCTGTCAGGGATCACCGCGGCGCTGGTCCTGGCGCAGGCGCAGTGCGCCGCCTTGTGCAGGGACGCGGGCACTAGGTCCAGGCCGGCCGCAGCGTTCGAACTCGCGCATGCGTACTAGGAGCTGCAGGCGCGCGCCTGGCACCAATGACAGCGCAGGGCGTGATATTTAAACGGCCCTGAACTGTCATTGAGTGCCTTCTGGTCTTACCTGCATTCCTGAACCTGTGAACCTGTATCCTGTAAGTTGCTGACCCGGATTGTCAGCGGATTCACCATGCTGTATTCTCCTGCTCTGACCCTTGGCTTGCCTGACCTCTCTCCCGGATGCCCCCTATTGGATCTGATCTGCTGTTACTGACCTGGCGTGTGACCCGACTATTCTCTGCCCGCTGCTTTGTACCCCCACGGCTACCGACCCGGCATGTCTGACCTCGCACCTGTTCAGCCATCCATCCATCCATCCCATCGGGGTCACCCGACCTCCTCATATCAGGCTCTCCCCTGTGGGAGCCCCTGGCGAACACCCCTACCACTGACAGGTATACTCAGTAGTCACGACCTGGTCTCAGGGTACTCCAATTCCATCCCCACCATCAGGGGCCCTGGTGAACAAGTACTCTGGGGCTTAGATTCCGTGCTCTGGGGACACCTGATCAGTGGAGTGCTAGTGGTGCTGCCAGGCAGTCCTTTACAAGATCGTTCACCTTGCAAAGGAACGTTCCCAGAGTTTCGTGGGTGTGAATGAGGTGAAGTTCTGCTGAGTTCCATCATCCAGTCATTTCCAATCGGAAATAAAATGCTTTTTTCTAAGCATGTGGTATATTATTTCTTCACATTCACTAAACTCTGGGGAAAGTTTTGTGCAACTGCCTGTGCAAAGTGAACAAGCCATTTGTCTTAAGTAAATCCCCCCCCCCCCAAAAAAAAAGAAGCGGAATTTGAATGGTTCTGTATGCAATAATGAAATCCAAGAGTGATAAGACTAGGGGAAGGGTGGGGAGATCACTGGGACCAGATTTTGTGACATAAAACCCCCAAAGACTTCCCTACCTTGCTACTTACTGTACATAAACCTAAAACTATGTACAATAAGTAGAATCTCACCTTTCATGGTATTTATTTTATTTGTTTCAGGTACTTATATAGCGCCGTCAATTTACGCAGTGCTTTACATATATATTGTACATTCACATCAGCCCCTAACCCTCAAGGGGTGTACAATCTCACCTAACTCACATTCATACATACACATACTAGGGACAATTTATACAGGAGCCAATTCACCTACCAGCATGTCTTTGGATGTTATATTACTTTCCTTGTTCCTCTTCCATTAGGAGTTCAGTGGCCAGTTCTTCAATATGTTTCCAGGCAAATGTAATGTGCTTGGATTCAACAGTTCGAGAACATACAGCAAAACGTAAAATAAATTTATCTTCTAAGCAGCATGGCACAATATGGATTTTCTTCACATTATTTATCTTTTGTAGAAGTGCTTTGTTTAATTCATTGGAACCCTATAATGGAAAAGAATAAAAGGAAATTATCACCAGTGTTAAGCAGCATGGGCAGCAAAGTAATCAAATTTGCAAATATTATTTGTTACCTATCTTGATCTATTATTATATAGGGAAGATTCCAGCTTAAATTTTGCTTGTTGCCGGAGCAAAATGTAAACACAAAGTATTGCCATACCTGTGTGAGCATTTAGTAGTGAACTGCTGACTGTTGGAAAGCTCATGCTTGTAAGAATTATGTCATTATTTGAATACTAGCCTGTAAATCCACATCATTACCAGAACAATTTTTAGTGATGTGAGAGTAACAATTACGTGGTCATGCAACACTGTACCCAAATGATTTTTATATACTGTATACGCCACCATCAAACCCGCCCTGCAGGCCAGAGTACTTGGTGTCATTCTGGACTCCAACCTATCCTTCCAGCCCCAAGTCCAATCTTCAACAAGCTCCTGCAGACTCCACCTCCGCAACATCGCCAAAATCTGCACGTTCCTAATGCCAGAAACCACTAAACAGCTCATCCACTCCCTCATCATATCACGACTCGACTACTGCAACTCCCTCCTCACTGGCCTGCCTCGCCGCTGGCTATCCCCGCTTCAGTCCATCCTGAATACGGCTGCCAGACTCATTCACCTTTCCAACCATTCCGTTTCCGCCACCCCCCTCTGCCAATCCCTCCACTGGCTTCCGATTGCACAACAGATCAAATTCAAAATCCTAACACTGATGTACAAAGCTGTCCACCATACTGCCCCGAACTATATCACCGACCTAATATCCAAAGTACCGCCCAACACGCTCACACCTCCTTCTCTCTAGTTCCCTGGTCTCCTCCTCCCATGCCCGCCTCCGACTTCTCCACACCCATCCTCTGGAACTCCTGTCCCACAAGATTATCCTACCTTCTCTTCAGGGAAGCCTCAGGGAAGCCCCCACCCCCTGTTAACTTGCCGACCTCCTCCACTCTTCCCACCACTCCATCCCCCACAGCTATCTCCTCCTGTGCCACCATCCCCCCCTCCTAGATTGTAAGCTCGAAAGAGCAGGGCCCTCGATCCCCTCATGTTTTGCATTGTATTGTTATTGTTCTGTCACATGTTCTGTCCCCCTTTGTAATGTACAGCGCTGAGCGAACTATTGGCGCTTTGTAAATACTGTATAATAAAAATAATAATAATTATATAGATATATATATATATATACACACACACACAATATTGCCAAATGTATTGGGACACCCCTCCAATCACCTCCATGGCCACAAGTGTATACAATCAAGCACCTATGCATGCAGACTGCTTCTACAAACATTTATGAAAGAATGGGTCGCTTTCAGGACCTCAGTGAATTCAAGCGTGGTACCATGATAGGTTGTCACCTGTGCAATAAGTCCATCCATGAAATTTCCTTGCTACTAAATAATAAAGTGGGAGCAACTTGGAACAACAGCAACTCCAACATGAAGTGGTTGGCCACGTAAAATGACAGAGTGGGGTTAACGCATGCTGAAGAGTACAGTGCGGAGAAGTCGCCAAATGTCTACAGAGTCAATAGCTAAAGACCTCCAAACTTCATGTGGCCTTCAGATTAGCCCAATAATAGTGTGGGGAGAGCTTTATGGAATGTGTTTCCGTGGCTGAGCAGCTGCATCCAAGCCTCACATCACCAAGTGCAAAGCGTCAGATGCAGTAGTGTAAAGCACACCACCACTGAACTCTAGAGCTGTGGAGACGTGTTCTCTGGAATGACGAATCGTGCTTCTCTGGAAAAATGATGGATGTGTCTGGGTTTGGCGGTTGCCAGGAGAACGGTACTTGCCTGACCGCATTGTGCCAAGTGTAAAGTTTGGTGGAGGGCGATTATGGTGCGGAATTGTTTTTCAGGGCATTGGGCTTGGTCCTTTAGTTACGGTGAAGGGAACTCTTAGGGCATCAGCATGCCAAGACATTTTGGACAATTTCATGCTCTCGACTTTGTGGGAACAGTTTGGGGATGGCCCCTTCCTGTTTAAACATGACAGTGCACAAAGCAAGGTTCATAAAGACATGGATGAGTGAGTTTGGGGTGGAGGAATTGGACTGGCCTGCACAGAGTCCTGACATCAACCCTTCTCATCCAACATCAGTGCCTGATCTCACAAATGCGCTTCTGGAAGAATGGTCAAACATTCCCATAGACACCCTCCTAAACCTTGTGGACAGCCTTCCCAGAAGAGTTGAAGCTGTTATAACTGCAAAGGGCGGAGCCAACTCAATATTGAACCCTATGGACTAAGACAGATGCCATTACAGTTCATGAGCATGTAAAAGCAGGTGTCCCAATACTTTCGGCAATATAGTTTATATTTTTTATTTAGACAGATAGAGCTTCATTCTTATTTATTTTGATATTTAAAAGAGAAGTGTGGGATTTTAAAAACAACCATGTTCAACTATGTGACGCAGCATTGATCCAATACTGAGCTGTCCCCCACCGGCTCCAAGGCCAAGAAGCAAGCCATCACATGACCACTAAGTTCTCTGTCGTCACTGAGCACAGAGCGGTGACTGTCAGTCACCTCTGTGCTCTGCCTGTCCAGCTCTCACTGGATCATCGAGCTGTGGAGGGGGTGGGGACAGCTGGCTCAGGCTTTCAGTGGTGCACTGAGAGAGTGAGCCAGTTGATGATGAGGCAGCTGGGTGAATCCAGACAATATGGTAGGGATCCTTGAAGAGCCTGGACCTGCTCTGTGACGTCAGCCAACAGCAGGCTCTAGCCCGCTATTGGCTGAATCTGGGTCACAGGAGTGCAAATATAAGTGTAACCAACATGAGAAGTATGGCCAAACAAGCTTTGGGCATAATTCTTCTTTAAAAAAAACACTTTTTTTTTGCCATATAAAGAAAAACATTACCAAATATTTGGGATTGCCTACATTTGCTTTTCATTTATTTACCTTTAAACAACTTCCCAATCATCACAATCATTGGTGGCTAGCGGCACTTTTTTTTTTAAAGTTTGATTTTATTTTCGGAAACTCTCAAATAGAGCAGCGTTTTTCAACCACTGTGCCGCGGCACACTAGTGTGCCGTGAGATATTGTCTGGTGTGCCGTGGGAAAAATTCCAATTTCATCTGTAACATGTGGCTTCGGCTCACAAATAGACCAATCATTAGAATCTAATGATTCAGTGGTCGGCAAGCCGCGGCTCGCGAGCCACATGCGGCTCTTTACCCAGTCTAATGCGGCTCTTCTGTGTGCCGGGCGCCTGCTCCCCTCCCTCCTCTCGGTCGGCCGCTCCCCTGCCTCCTCTCGGTTGGCAGCCCCAAAAGTCCGCGCGGACCTTTTAATCCGGCTTGCGGATGTGGCTGTCAGGATGTGTGTAGGCGGGGCAGCGTGCCGAACGTGAGGGGAGGGGAGCTAGGCTCCTCTCACAGTCCGCCCTGAAGACCCGAACGGCGCGGGAAGACAGCGAGAGGAACGCAAAAGGTAAGTGAATTGACACGGGGGACTTGGCTTACTAGAAGGGGGGGGGGGAATAGTACTGTGGGGGATGAAATACTATATGAGGGATGAATTACTTTATGAGGGATGAAATACTATATGGGGGGATGAAATACTATATGGGGATGAATTACTATATCAGGGATGAATTACTATATGAGGGATGAAATACTATATGGGGGGATGAAATACTATATGGGGGGATGAAATACTATATGGGGGGATGAATTACTATATGAGGGATGAAATACTATATGGGGGATGAAATACTATATGAGGGATGAAATACTATATGGGGGATGAATTACTATATGAGGGATGAATTACTGTATGAGGGATGAAATACTATATGGGGGATGAAATACTATATGAGGGATGAATACTATATGAGGGGATGAAATACATATTATGGGGGGATGAAATACTATATGGGGGATGAAATACTATATGAGGGATGAAATACTATATGAGGGATGAAATACTATATGAGGGATGAATTACTATATGAGGGATGAAATACTATATGGGGGATGAAATACTATATGGGGGGGATGAAATACTATATGGGGGGATGAAATACTATATGAGGGATGATTTACTATGGGGGATGAATTACTATATGGAGGATGAATTACTATATGGGGGAATTAATTACTATGCTTACTATGGGGGAATATTACTATACTTACTATGGATGACACATACACATCATTCATCTACTCTTGGTGGCCCCCGGGTCCAATTATAAAATACTTTATTATTTCATAATAAAGAATTGTTAATTATAAAAATAATTTCTTTGTGTTTGATTCCTATTCAAGAGAATTACTTTATATATAGTCAATATAGCACAGAGGTAAATTTTTTTAACATTTCTAATGGTGGTGTGCCTCGTGATTTTTTTCATGAAAAAAGTGTGCCTTTGCACAAAAAAGGTTGAAAAACCTGAAAATAGAGAACATTAAAATTGCAAACATAATGTCAGTCACAAAAGTAACCATAGACACTGAAACAGTATAACTGTAAATAACACATTGAGAAACGATAAGCAATGCAACAAAAACATAGACGATAGAGTATATTGAAAGTAGTGCTTAAGTGTCCATAAAAAAAAAAAATAGTGGATGATGAAGAGCAATAAATTAAGTAATAAAAGGTTGAAGTTCTCTTTTTAAGCTACAGGAACTGGACAGTGTGAGGAGTACTTCTACACCCCCTGGACAAAGAAAGAAGAGGGCATTCAGGTGCATGTGTACTGTAGCTAGTTTCTCCCTGTACTCATTACTACGTTCTTTGTGTGTCTCTGAACCCTTGCCCTGGGATTCTCAGGTGGGATGAGGAGATTTTCATCTAGGGTCTGAGGAGGTTCACCTAATGGGACCAAGTGCTCCTTGCAAAGACCATGTGCTAATCGGTCAGAATGGAAGAGCCACTCCTGAAGGAGTTAGAGAGCAGGGGTGCACTGACCATTCGAGCACTCGGGTACTGCCCGAGGGCTCGGGGTTT